ACGGACAATAGGCAATAAGAGAGGGAATGGAAATGTGAGGGTTAATAAATTGGTGAAAAATTATGGTTGATCCTGGACTGTTGTCACGTCTACTTGTGATTATTTTGTGATTGACTGAAATTGTGGGGATCGGTACGAAAGAGATATCAAAATATGATTCATTTTCAGTGAGATATTTATTCCACATTGGTTTCAATTTCGAGTTAAGGAAAGTATATTTTTGATTGATCGTTCGTGCTCGTTAATATTCACAATTTCAGTCGAATTTTTTATTTAAAAACTGCTTATATATTTATTGAATAATGAAGACCCAATTTTTTTTAATCATGTATTACAATTACTGATACTTATGAATTATTTTTTTAACAATTACAGGTAAGAAATGTGTCGATTCTTTTGAATCATGAGAGAAAATAATCAGGTAAGTTTTTTGCTTTCTTTAATTGCTATTCCTATCATATAATTGTTTATAATTAATCAATTACTGGCTGGATCTTTACAGAACCTGCATGTAAAAGTAGCTGCGAGTGTGTAGATTGAAAATCGATCATAAAAGTTTATTAATAGTTTGCCAAAAAGAAGTTATCTCTGATTTTTCCTTTCGCTGTCAATTTATACAAACTTGACATCATCTAACGGGTGGGATCTTTTCGCATGATTTTATGACATAAAAGTACCGTAAAAAGTTACTTATGGTATATCAATTTAAAGCTTAAACCTTAATGAATATAATTATATAGGCGCTTCATTAATATCCTTAATAAAAAATGACTGAACTCCAATTACAATAAGCAATGACTATACCTAGCAATCTTCAGTTTCTCTCATGAATATTTTGAACATTTGCGATTGTAAATTTTGAATTTGCTTGTAGTTTATTAATTTTGTAAGATTTTATTTATTTCATTCTTTAAATTTGTAAATCACCGCTCTTTTATAAATAAACCGCATCGGTAATGGTATTGCCTTCTTTTTTTTAAGTATAGATAGAAAATTAAAGGGTTTTAATGTTTCAGTTTGTGTTAAAGTAAAAGTTTTTGTAAAATAATTAAGTTAATAAATAGAAAATGTTGTGAAAACTTAATTTTAACATGTTTTTTAAGAATAAACCTCCACGTCGATAATAGTATAGGTGGCGCCATCTAGCGGCGAACCCGGGAACTAACAAAATAGAAAATTCCATTTTTTGGCAAAACTAGAAACTTTAGGGCCTTTCCGTGGCCGCCAAATGATTCTACGTCCTCGATTACATAGGAAAAATGCCCTTACAATCAATTAAAAGCTTTAATTTAAAAAATAAGAAAAATAGGCAATTCATGGACAGCAAATTTGTCGTCCATCTAGCGGCGAAAAGGTGGAACTAACGAAATGTGAAAAACATCGTTTTTTCGCGAAATAAGGAACTTTTGGGCTTTTTCGAGGCTGCCAAATGATTCTACGACCTCGAATACATAGGAAAAATGTCTTTACAATTGATTTCAAGCATTAATTAAGAAAATAAAAAAATTAGTAATCACCTTTCCAAATTTTCAAATGCAAAAAGTCCAACCCATTTCTTTTTGGATTTATTTGAGCTTCTAGAGCTAGCAGAAGCTTCTCTAACATCAAATATTCGACTAATTATATGAAATAATGCATAAAATATTAAATAAACGTGATTTGATTATTGATAATCGACTAATTTTCGCATTTTCTTAATTAAAGCTTTAAATCAATTGTGAGGACATTTTTCCTATGTATTCGAGGTCGTAGAATCATTTGGCAGCCTCGCAAAAGCCCAAAAGTTCCTTATTTCGCCAAAAAACGATGTTTTTCACATTTCGTTAGTTCCACCTTTTCGCCGCTAGATGGACGACAAATTTGCAGTCCATGAATTGCCTATTTTTCTTATTTTTTTAATTAAAGCTTCAAATTGATTGTAAGGGCATTTTTCCTATGTATTCGAGGACGTAGAATCATTTGGCGGCCACAGAAATGCCCTAAAGTTTCTAATTTTGCCAAAAAATGGAATTTTCTATTTTGTTAGTTCCCCGGTTCGCCGTTAGATGGACGACAATTTTAAGGTCCATGAATTACCTATTTTTCTTATTTTCTTAATTACAACTTCGAATTGATTGTAAGGGCATTTTTCCTATGTATTCGAGGACGTAGAATCATTTGGCGGCAACGGGAAGGCCCTAAGGTTCCTAATTTTGCCAAAAAACGGAATTTTTTATTCTGTTAGTTTCCAAGCTCGCCGTTAGATGGCGCCACATGTACTATTATCGACGTGGGCGAGGGTTTTTCTTAAAAAACATGTAAAAATTAAGTTTTCACAACATTTTCTATTTATTAACTTAATTATTTTACAAAAACCTTTGTTTTAACACAAACTGAAACATTACAACCCTTTAATTTACAATCTAAACTTAAAAAAAAGAAGGCAATATCATTACCGATGCGGTTTATTTATAAAAGAGCGGTGATTTACAAATTTAAAGAATGAAATAAATAAAATCTTGAAAAATAAATAAACTACAAGCAAATTCAAAATTTACAATCGCAAATGTTTGAAATATTCATGAGAGAAACTGAAATTTGCTAGGTATAGTCATTGCTTACTGTAATTGGAGGTCAGCCATTTTTTATTAAGGATATTAATGAACCGCCTATATAATTATCTTCATCAAGGTTTAAGCTTTAAATTGATATTCCATAAGTACCTATTTACGGTACTTTTATGTCATAAAATCGTGCGGAATCATCCCATCCGCAAGGTGACGTTAAATCTGCAAAAATTAACAGCGAAAGGAAGAATCATTAGTAACTTCTTTTTAACGAACAATTTTATTCCAACTTAAAAATTCCAGTGTGTCTACCTTCAGAAATGTTTGACCTGTATTTTATTTAAAACAAATGAAAAATAAATTAAACTTTAAATATTGCAGGCAAATTGAAAACCACAAAAGCGCAAACATTTTAATTCCTCAGTAAATTGATTTAAACTTATCCCGGAAATTATTGAAGCAACCCAGAACCAGAAAAATGAATAGAAGAGGAAAGAGGAATGATAGTGGTTCGATTTCTAAGGAAAAGCGACCAACTGGTCGCCGATCGAAGCTGTAATTTGCTCGTCGATGGTTAATCGGCGTCGTTAAAGCCAATTTATCTAGCAATTTCGCGTGATCGGATCTACACGCGCGCTCCCATCACCGCTTGTAAATTCGTCGCGAGTAATTACTCGCACGCTGATAGGGACAAGTGCGGTACGGATAGGAACGAGTTGTAGAGGAAAGCTCGTTCGTAGCGTAGGTATTTCTTCAGCTTCGAAACCGAGCGTCACGCTTTACGTGCTCGCGAATCCTACGCGATCGCGACAGCTGCAGCTGCGACACGCTAGCTGACCAGACACTCGCGTGTTCCTCTCAGCATCCCACACAACTCGTCCTGTCTCCAAAAGAAACTCCCTTTTCTCCTTCAAAGAAAAAAGAAATTTCATTTCAAGAAAATAAAGGAAACAAATAAATGATTCATAAATTACAGGGAAAAATTCCTAATTATAAAAGTATCCCAAATATCATTTCTTAAGAAAGAACAAGCTAAGAGAAAGATTTCGAATATGCTAATTAAGATGTAGGAATATCCAGCGATAACCGCAATTTCGTGCGCGAAATTCCAGGCTCGCGTCTCACCCCCGGTGCAATTTTCATCGTTCACGGTTAAATCGTGCCACATTTCGTGGCCGACGGGGGAAGCTCGTAACCGTAACCCATAACCAGCCGTATCCATTCCCGGAGGAACCGCAAACGCGACGATGAAATCCGACGCGATACGTGCACTCCGCACACCGGTTCGCGACAAAGTATCCTCCGCGTGGTTCGAGGAAAGAGGAATCCGTCGCTGGAAACGCACGCTTCCTTTCTTCGAGATCCGCACAATGGCCGTGTCAGGTCTGATTATTTTTCAACGTGGATCAAACGCGCTGAAAGCGTGTTCCCGCGTATGTGTTCGCCAGTGCGAGCGGACTTTCTCTCCTCTTAGCCGCACTTTCCATGTGTCTTTTCAACGAAGCCAGGGTTATGCTACTGGTCAAACATTTGAGACCTTTTCAAACACTACGACGCGCTCACCTTTACCGCGCTAGGCGCTTTGAAATTTTAATTACCGTGGATACGATCAATTAACACGTCGATTGTCACACTGGAGCTATTGAAAGTTTCATTAAGCAGTATTTTGATTTTTAACGAGTCCTATTTTCGAATCGAAATGAATTCTTTGGATTCGAATGAATAATTCAAGCTTCGAATTTGAAGAATTAGAAACGATCTTAATTACAACCGATTGGTTTAATAAGAGGATCGGTGCAGGAAAATGGAGAGAGTACGCGAAGGGAAGAGAGAGAGAGAGTAGAAGGCCGCGAAAACGATGTCAGCACGACGATGGGAGGGAGTTTAAGAAAGAGTTTTAACCAGCTTCGGTTTTCTCCTCTGGTCTGCGATCGCGATCGCTTCGATCGCCGCGCAACAGCAGCAGTCGGTAGCTGGATAAAGGGCTAAGGAGAAAAGGGAAAAATAACAGCTCACGAACGAACTGGCGCGGGAGAGCGGATTTTTGCGTCGAACCGTGTGTATGCGTGCGAGTCGTGACTCGCAGAAAGCATCCCTTTGTGCTCCGATAGAACTCGATGGCCTGTGAAAACTTCATTCTACTCGTAAACGGATACGCGTAGATATTTTGCTTAACAGACTCAGAAAATTTCTCTTCAAATTTAACCAACGAATAATTAGTTCTGATTGAAAGAAAACTTAAAGGGTTAAAGAAGAAAACTTGCTTTAAGGGGCTATACCAGTGTGACCGCTCTAAAATTAGGTGATTTTCGAGAATTTTTTTTTTTAAGAAATATTACATCAAATGTTTTGAAATTATAGGGATGTATTTAGTTACAAGTCGTATATCTATAATAATTTTTTGGTACAAAAATAATAAATAACAAGCGACTTATACGCTATCTTCCAGGGCTCGAAAAAAAAAAAAGTTGCTCCACTGCTGCAGTGATTGCCGCCGTCTGAGTGCTTAAAATGAAAAATGACAAAGACGATGTTAAACTAGAAGCTTTTCTCCGTACCATGAACTAGGATTTTTGAAAAATATCAAAATCTGACGAAATGGCGAAGTTTTGAAGAAGTGTTTGGAATTTAGCTTCAAAAAATCGTAGTTTTTTTAATGCCAAACTGGCATTTTTCATCCAATCAAAAAAATTCTAATTCATGGCATGGCAAAACATGTACTGAACACGCTGAAGAAGTTTCGAGTCGATGCAATAATTTGTATTCGAGTTAGAGCTGCAGCAAATTTGAGAAAAACGCGATCCATCGGCGATAAGCGCGTTTCTGACATGCCAGCAGTTACTCTTTAGAACGTTGCCATTCCTAAATTATTTGAGATTCGACCTTAAAATTTTAATATGATATTCTAGAGAGTATAGACTTTCAAAAAATGCAAAAAAAAATCGATTTTTCAAAAGTGTTACACTGGTATAGCCCCTTAAGGAATATTCAAATATGGTACTTAATTATGAGGGTGCCTTTGATCACAGAAGAAGCGCTTACATATTTTCTTATTCTTCTTCTTTTTTCATGATCCCGATGTTGAAACAAGCGATTTAGGCAAATTATCGTCGGGCACATTTTTACCCTTATGTATTTTAATTTTACGAACTGCCCGAAATTTGTTTCGAACCATCCGAGCTCGACGGGGTAATCGGATACAAGGGAAACCGGTGGAGGAATTAGCGGAGGATCGGCGCGTTTCGTGGCGCGGAGAGTTAAACGCGTTTACAGTAATTCGGGCTTACAATATGGCGAGTACCCGGGATATGCTGGCTCCTCTATAAACAGTGTTCGTTATTGCCCTCGCGGACGGCCGGATTATCGCGATTAATATCGTCGACTCTCTCGGTCGAAAACACGGCGAATCCTTTGCCGGGAAATGATAAAATAAGTTGACGCGCGAGTAAAATTCCTGCCTCCTCGTATCTCCTTTTATTTACCCGGCGGCGTTTTTCAGAAGAAGTATCAAAGTTTAAATAACAGGGTTCTTTGCCTGATTAATCGGTCAAATTGGAGAGAATGTTTTTCATCGAGATCGTACCGGCGGTTCCTGTGGTTCCATGGTGGGGTCAACGGCGGACACATCGAGGCCAGGTATTAAACGTCAGACTTAATGGGGATTATCTCGTTTCACCTTGCCTTCTATTTTCTGACTGTCCATCGATCGGCCATTTGACAGCCGGAAGATTTATCTCTTTTTAATGAAATCTTTGAGGATCCAACTGGAGCTGGTTATGGAACGATTATACACGGATGTTTTTCGAAGGAAATAGATGTAATACTTCTTACTTATCAATTTATACGTAGGTAATTAATTGGTCGAATAAATCGGTTAATTACGCTCGTTATCAAAGTAGGTTAATAATTTTAGAAAAATAGTTAGAATTCTCATTTATAAATACCACGGATGGTTTCGATATTCAATTATGACTCTCGTAAATTTTCATATTTTATAAATTACGTAAATATCCAGGGGATATAGATAACGAATTTCGGGTGATAAAATCGGCCATCGGGACACCGTGTATAATCGAGGAGATGGCCTCGGCCAGGTAGCTCTTTCCAGGCTCCGCGTATCGAGAAACGTGAGAAGCGCTATAATATAATCCGCGAACGTAAAAACTCGAAGGTCGGCTCGATAGCTGTCCTCGGTTCTGATAATGATCCGTGGAGGTTGGCTTTTAAGGAACACGAACGAAATTCCCTGGTGAACGTTCTTTATTCTCGGAATCGTGTACAGAAACACAATTCACGGGCACGGCTTTTGTTTTACGACGAGGAATCAGCCTAAAGAAATAAAGATACAATTCCCCTTTTAGATCTCGTTAATCCTACCGATATCAATCAACCCTATCTTTCAATTGCATTAAACAAACAGATGAAAAGGAACGATCGCCACCCCGTTGCAATCAGCCAGGTCGAAATCTAGCAAACTGCATCGGTGGTAAGCGTGAACGTGCTTTTATCCCAGCGATCTCAAAACGAGGCGAACGAGAGCACAGAGGGACGATAAACGCGTTCTCTCGTCAAACAGCAATTAGCTGCACCAACGGACCACGCACAGGGACCATTAACCGATGCAAAATGCATCTTCGAGTTGCATCGATTAGTGCATCCAAAAGTCTGCTAAACGAATTCCATGGAAAACGGAGTTAGAATTCATTTAGAATTTTTCTAATTAATTTCCAAAATTGATTAAATAAGAAGACACGTGTTTCCGCGGCAAGACGGGGTTAAAATCTCCATTTTGATCGAGGATCTCTACGAGTGGTACGATCGATTCTGGATCCATGGATAACGGAGTTAGAATTCATTTAGAATTTTTCTAATTAATTTCCAAAATTAATTAAATAAGAAGACACGTGTTTTCGCGGCAAGATGGGGTAAAAATCTCCGTTTCGATCGAGGATCTCTACAAGTGGTACGATCGATTCCGGGTCTATGGCAAACGGAGTTAGAATTCATTTAGAATTTTTCTAATTAATTTCCAGAATTGATTAAATAAGAAGACACGTGTTCCCGCGGCGAGATGGGGTAAAAATCTCCGTTTTGATCGAGGATCTCTACAAGTAGTACGATCGATTCCGGGTCCATGGAAAACGGAGTTAGAATGCATTTAGAATTTTTCTAATTAATTTCCAAAATTAATTAAATTAGAAGACACGTGTTTTCGCGGCAGGACAAGGTAAAAATCTGCGTTTCGATCGAGGATCTCTACAAGTAGTACGATCGATTCCGGGTCTCTTACGGTAGCGGCGCGGCCTTCGCGAGATCCCGCGTCACGATACGTCGCGTCGCTAGAAATCGAGGTCGTTTTTGAGATCGGACCTGGTCCGCTCGAGCCGGCGACCAACGGATACGCGTATCGCGAACCGATCGACAGATACCTCTCGACGAATTGAGAAGCGTGTTTCTGGTAAACCTGGACGGATTTACGAGCCTGGCGTTGCGGATGAAATTATTTGGTGCCGCGTGGATCTCCTTCGAAAATTATTTTCAATTAAAAATTAGAGAAAACTTGACTGGGTGCTACGAGATTCTTCTTGGCATTAGTTATCGACTAGCGTCCCTTTTAATACAGATTAATTTCATTTCCAGAGGCGAAGTATTTGCCAAGCATTGGCGCCACATCCGCCACGCCCTGTAATTACGCTGCTCGCACCGGCACGGCTCGTTAGTGGAACCCTTCGGATCAACCGGAATATCCGGGGATGCAGTCTTACTTCTTCAAATCTCAACCGAAGGTACAAAGTAAAAGACTTATATTTCGAAAGTTGTTCCTTTTCAGAGACAAGTTCTAATCCTTCCAAAGTATCGAACAAGGGTTTCAACCCCTTGATTTTCTAACACGTTCCTTAAGCTTCACGATCTGGTGCACGCGCAACCAGCATAGAGGACGCGTGTTCACCGTGATCTTCCTTTCTCCGCGTCTCTGCGGCTCGAAAAGTCGCCGGAAGGCCGTCGGCAGGGAAGAAGACAGGGCGTGGTCGCGATCTCCCGCGCCGCGAAACGCGTTTATTTGATCGAGAAATTTCTCCTCTCTTCGCCCCTCCATACATCTATCCTTCTCTCTTTCTACCCTTCTTTCATCTCCCTCTCTCATCCCTCCCCATTTGCCTCCCAACGTTTCACTCCTCGTCCATGCGACTCTCTTTTTCTCTCCTCTTGCTCTCCCTTTCCGTCGTGCTTCATCCTTGTCCCCGGTACCAACGGAGCCTCCAGTCTTTTTCATCCTCTTTTCTATGATTTTGCAGTGGATAACTAGATAAAAGATTATAGAAAATCGTGTTCAGAATTTAGTAGGGAATAACAGATCAGACGAGGGTGCAAAAGGATGAAACAGCACCCATTGGTATTTACTGTTTGAAAATAATTTCACTTGCAATTATAAATATTTTGCTTTCTGATTATTTAAAAAGGAACTACTGAAAATAATATGTAATTGTTTTAAATGATTTTTAAACGTTGCTTTTTAGACGACACTCTATATGTTGGTTTTGATACAGAAAAGGGTTGAACAGCCTTTCGTCGTCCTTGAGGATGAAAATCCGTATGAAAAATGGCGCGGGAATGCGCGCACCTGTTTCCCGGAGATATCGAAAAGAGAAGAAACCTTGCTGCATTTCCAGACGATACAACATTATCGCGTGATAGCATCGTTGCTTGTTTTAATATCATTACTTGAAGGAGAACGAACCAGAGAAAAGAGAAAAGTAGAATACCGAGGAAAAAAGGATACAGTGTTCGTTTGATATGAAAAGAGAATATGATGAGAGTAGAGCGGACCGTGTATTTGAAATTTGAAAATTTCTCAATCTCCACGCCAATGCAGCTCCTCCTTTCGCCATCCTTGAGACTCTCGTTCGCTTCTCTGTTTCTTTTCGCGCACGCTTAATGAAAGTTCGGGATCTCCTTGAGTTTCGTTTCCGAATCACCCTCCACTCAGCGAGAAACTTGGTCCAGTTTTTACCTGCGCATAGAAGCAGCAATTCTTAAAGAAAATAATGAAATAATTGCTATTATCAAGTTGAATACCGTGGAAGTTGGTTGAAAATATTTTTCAAACAAAAAGGAACGTAACGGGAGGGTGAGAGTTTCGTTTAAAAATTTCAACCGGAAATGTTACTCGTTCTAACACGATTTCTCGAGCCTCCTCCATTAAACAAGATCATAAGTTTGATCAATATTCAGACACTTATTATGATTGAACGTCTATTATTTTTTCATCAGCCAACAGATTCCCGATCGCCAACTACATGGAGAAAAGGTCATAGCTGTCGGTTCGATTGAATGGAAATTCTCCATTGATAGTCGACCTTCGCTGGTGAGATCGTTCTATCAGCGGCGAACCATGACGCGTGCCCGCCGCTTATTTACGAGCCCTTGTCACGGCTCTCCGTGACAAATTTTCGGCTGATTGGAATTTTCAACGCGTCGGCTTGTTTCGCGTTCGTTACTCGAGGAAATCGTTCTTATCGTCGATCGTGATCGCTTGATCGAGTCCTTCGCGTCGATTCCAGTGATAAAGGGGACTCGTGGAACGAACACGTGTCAATGTGTCAATACGCGTGGGTGCTGTTAAGTATCGAGAAGGTAACCCTGGAAGTGGAATCGTAAAGCATTGCACGCTGAGAGTTTCAACGGCGAAGTAGATCTTGAAACTCACAGTTACCGTCGAAAAGGTCACTTCGAACCCTTTTAATTAACACGTTCATCCTCGCGGGAATTATCGATGAATAAAAACCTTCCCAAGTTACGCGTCGAAAGAACGAGGAAATCTGAAAGAAAACAGAAATCCGTACACCTGCGACTCGATTCGAAGCAACGAGAATGACTTGGTATCATTTTCACCGGGCCAAGTTGCTCCGTAAAACAGCCCCCTCGGGAAATCGCTGGCCGTCTCCTAATGGTGTTCCCTCCGTTCTCGGCGATCTCCTTGGAGATCTTCCAGCGAGATAACTTTAACTTTCTGATTGCGAGAGAAGCAGAGAGAGAGAACGAAAACATGACACTTTCTAATCCTCGATGATAGTGGAACGCGACCTCAAACGATACGGAGACAGTTTCGATTCTTTTACAAACTTCCCATTGTAGATTCATCGGCGCGTCCTCTGTAGCTGATCTTGAATTCTTAAATTGGACCGGAGCAATTAACGAGCGGGGGGAGGAAAAAAGGATTCATCGGGTACCGGGATAGCGCGGTCGTTTGTCCGAACGGAAGCGGAATCCGCGTCGATCCTCTGGATGGATGGTCGGCTCGGCGAGCGGAGAATTTCATTGAACAGTTCTTTGCCCGAGGCCGATCCGGCCGAGCCGTAATAGGCAGGAAAATGTCTGCAGGACGCGGCAGGATATGGCAAGTGGAGCTACTCAATTCGCTGAACTGGTCTGGCGTGTGCTACCGCGGAATCGGTCGCAGCTGACGTTGAATGCCTAAGTCGAAGTTTTTCCGTCAGGCGTGTAAGCGAGCAGACCAGAGTCAACAACCTTCGGGTCCCTGGTGCCCTAAGTCCCGTCTGTGTGGATACGCATACCTACGCGTTCAAGATCACCAGTTCATTTGCTGGTTGAAACGATTTCCAAACGACATTGCGCATCGAGATGTCAATTTTAAAAAGGAGACATTATTTTAAAAATCTTTCACGTTTCATTTTAAATGGATCTATAGCTGTGTAAATGAATTTTTTCTTCTTTCAATTTGAAACTCCAACGATCAGAAAGTTATCGAGGTACAAGTTCAACGACTACGCAGGCAGATTGAATTTCCAGTTTTAAATGGCCGGCGAATCGAGTCGGTTTGGAGGTCGAAACGATTCCTGGGACCGATAGCGGTCAATGAAATTCCGCGGCTCGAACGCATGCATCGTGGAGCGACGAGAAGGAGATCGCCAGTCACGACATTCCTGGAGCTACGCGGCGCGCGTTGGCGAAAGCCGCTCGCCGCTCGCGAAATGGAAAGGGACACACCCATGCATACCTCATTACGGGAAATCTCTTTGCAACCGGGAATCCCTGGCATCCGAAAACTGTATCGAAAGCACTCCCGAGGAATTCGCGTTTCGAACGTGCTTAACGAACTCCCATATCAACCCGTAACAAGTCAGCTTCTATCCGCTCAAAGTTAAGAAAAATGTGTCAATTTTACAATAGAAACACTAGTCCAAATTATCATCCTCGAGTCATTTCAAAGTTATTTCAAGAAGAATGATAAAAATTGTTTGAATACCGTTTACTTTTAACTGAATATGCCTACCGGGGCTACCAAAACCGGTGGGGCGGTCAGGGCGCCCCAGACGCCTTTGTACGCGGCCCGAGGAGAAACCGACGCCGGCTGGGACCTCCGGGTCCCTTACATCCTTATATCACTTATATTCCTGCTTATACCCCTGTGTCTCTTATGGGAGCTCCTCGGAGCCCTCGCTCCGGACGCCTGCGACCCCGTTTTTCTGTAATTTGGCGGGTCGCCCTCTTCGTCCTCCTCCACGTTCCTCCGCGTCAGGAGCAACGATTCTAATATGAAAATAGCTCAGCTGCCTCCTCGCAGAAGGAAGCAAATGCATTCCACGAGCAATTGCCAGCGATGAGAGATCCTCCCCCAGTGCGACTACCGCTTTGCGCTTAATTAAGCATAATTAATTATTTTGACGACCAGCTTTCGAATCGAGTTCATTATTCATTTCGCTTTAGCGACTATTTATTTCTCCTAATCTCATCTGGGGGGTGTCTGATAGTCCCTAAATCATGACCCCTGGAAGACAAAGGCATATCCACTCTTTTGTATCTGTAGTCACTGCGTCCAGTGTGGGTTACCGCACATTACGAGCAAAGTGAAAGAATGTCAAATGATGATTGGTCATTGCGGTGGCCAATGGGTCCCCGACTTGTCGACTGGTAGGTAGGCGCTCGCCGTCGCGAGTACTGGCGCCGCCTCCTGGTGCATCCAGCTATCAAACTGCAAAGAATCGCGTTACGCGACGCTCGTAAACGACGCCTGAATCACTCGAACCGCGTCTCGCTACGCTAAATCTATAACCATTGTTTCATGGTTGATTACAACCAACGACACCACTTATAATTTATCTTGAAGGGTATCATTTTAATTAAGCAAGATGATTTTAAATTGAATCAATTGATTTATTAATCACTGGATCCTATGATTTATTAATCAGAAAATTCTCAGTCTAACTGTAACTCCGGTCGCCAACGCAGCATCCTCGTAATTATTCATACTTCTTCGTGTACTTTTTTTCTCCCCAAGTACCAGCAACATTTTCACCAATTCGCGCAGCAATAATTTACCGAGAAATTATCAGTACCTCGTTCGCTCGTTCGAGGGACCTGTCTCATTTGCAAGCACCCCGGGGGCAGGCTTGTTTCGACTCCGGTTAACGCAGAGAGGAAGGAAAAAAAACGAACGTCCTGAACGAAGAAGCCGAAGATCTATTAAGTAGTACTCACTTGGATGTCATTGGTCATTGGTAACGGGCCGGCAAGCAACTTCTTCCCTCTCGTCGCTCGCCTCGCTGTTCTTTTCTTGTCCGAAGAATATCGCTACAAGAGTATTTACTTCTAGCAATTCTGCCGATACCGATACGAGACCGGTGTACCGTTAAACGCGATATCAACCTGCTGCCTAGTGGATTGTCGCGACAACCCACGATCTTCAGGGAATCGTCGGAACAATGCGACTCGGCAACGAACAAGACGATAAATCGATGATACTGGATAATTTCAGGTAACGGGAAAGTACGACCTATGTTAGCACGGGAAATTCTAATGAAAATTTGCAATAGATGCCCCGAAATTTCTGAAAGCATCTCCACGTGCTGTACAGCAGAGAATCGAGCTCAGCGTAGCGAGCGTGAACCGATGACGGCCGGCGATACCGGAACGTACACTGTAGCTCGGGCTAACGGGGGCCCGGCCTGTAATTTCATTTGTCGAGATCCTATCGTCGGAATTTATACGGTCGACCGGTGAAAATACGTCGTGGAAACCGATAAAACGGTCGGCCGTGCAACGCGCGGCTATAATAGAGCCACGCGGGCGACGTTTCCCGTTGCTGCCGTTCGTGTCAAGACGGACTGGCAGCCACGGAACTATCGATAATTATTTATCGCACGATCCTGAATGATGGTCACGTACGCGTATCCCTGGACAGGATCGCGATGCATCGGTATTCGGTGTATTACAGGCAACGATACGCCCGCCACGAATTACAAGCTACCGATCCGCGCGGAGGCCCCGAGCGAATCGCGTGACGATTCTTCGAGGAAATTGCCGATGAATTTTCCGTTCGGAATTGGGAGAAATCGATGATGATTACCGGGAACCGTTGGTCAATTGCTCTGTGATTTTTGAATGCAATTACACGGCGATAAAACTGGGTGTTAATTGGCACCAATTTCACCAGCAATCATACCCGCTGTTGCTGAGAAACTTTGTTGTGCCTGTATTTGCAGAAATACTGGTGGATGTTGGTCAGTTTATAAATAGCGAATTTCTTCGTCGTCCAATAGAACTTGAATTTTATCGTCGCGAGGATAGTAGACTTTAGAAGAACAACGGCCTAACGACGGGACAATAACTGTTGGCAAGGGCTCGTAGCCTCGAAAGCTCTTCGCTCGAATCTCGTTCAATCACCGGTAACGTCTCTCATAGGTGGCTGTATCGCGTTGAACGGGCAGGAAACGGGTGAAAAATGGCGCGAGTTAAAATCAGGATGCTCGAACGAAGCACGTAGCCGGTTGTAAGGTGACAGAACAATTTCGTTCGGAACGAGGCGTCGTTCCGATAAATAATTACCGATGCTTAGCCGCGTCCTAAAACAGCGTTCCCATCGTCGAACGAACGCCATTACGCGGTCCCGAGCGACGATAGCAAAGTTGTACGAGGCCATATTCACCGACATCGAGCGTATAAATACGAACACCAGCCTCGATCCGTTTCGTTAAAAGCATCCTGTCGTTA